AAAAATGTTTTTGGGTTTGTTTTTATTGTTTTTTCAGGCTCTATCGATCATTAAAATTTTTCAGATTATTCCTGGACCTCCCTGTATATTTTATAAATCAAAATTATGGCACAGACGGCGCCTCATATTTTTGTTAGTAAGTTTGAAATGATTTTTTTTCCTTTGGGTCAATGTATATTTATTATTAAAACTGCAGAGAGTACCTAGTTTGTTTTTATTAATATTTATTAATAAATAAATTCCAATTAAAAATAATAATTTGTTTTTTATTGATAAGGCGTGCAGCTAGCGTATTTGTAGGTAAGCTATCCAACTACAATTCAAATTAGAATACTATTTTCTGAATCGTAGTAAAGTATGGCCTGCTGCGGTCGCGCATACCCTACACCATTCTCTACTATGATTCAGAACATCACAAACTGGGAGATGTGCTGAATCGTAGTAAGGATTGTATTGTACTTAGTGGCGTTTAATTTTGTCAATCCTTACTGCGATTCAGAACACTATGGCTCTGTATCGTAGTACACAATGCTCGGAAGAGGCAAACTCTACTCTCGCACTATAAGGCAATCCCTTTTAAATATTATCCAGCCCTGATCATTTTGCCTGATTAGGTAAAAGTAGAGGAAATTATGGTTCGGCCCGGATGCGTATTGGCATTGTGTACTTAAAAGGGATTGCCTTATAGTGCGAGAGTAGAGTTTGCCTCTTCCGAGCCGGACCATTATTTGCTTCACTTTCCCCAATCCGGCAGTCTAATCTGGGCCAGATAATAATTAAAAGGGCTTGCCTTAATATGCCAATTGGCATATTAAGGCAGTAAGAGTAGAGGTTGCCATATCCGAAACGGACTATAATTTCCCTAATCAGGCAGCCTGATAAGGGCCGGATGGATATCCAAAGGGTACTCCTTTTAGGGATATAACAGGGTTACCCCTATTCATACCTGACCGTAGATGCCTTAATAGGGTTTTACCTATTTGGGCCTAATCCGGACCACATACAATTTCCCGTATAAGGCACCCGGATCCATGCCAGATCAGGGCCCTGCCACTTCTCAATGGGAATCGTTGCTCGGGATCCTCTATTCTCCATTAGACGATTCAATTGGGAGATCATTTACCTATGTTTCCTATTAGTTAAGGTTCGCATAAATTCGACGTTATTGTTATCGTATTCGACATGAAGTCGAGCGATTCATTTGCGAATGGTTTTAAAAAATAGTATCCTCGACAAATCTTTGCGATTGAAAACGTACACGACAAATTTAAACGAGTGTGGTTGTATTTACATTGTTTGACATAGAAATATAATTTATACAAGTGCAAAGCCCGTCTACAACTGTGCTATTTGTAGTAACATGATGGACAATAAAAAAAATAAAAGAAAACTTTAATTTAATTAATATTAAAAAAATAAAGAATTGCAAAGTGGAAAATTTTCAAATAATTTTACGTAGAAGGACGCCCAGAGAGAATAGGAGAAAATTCTTTGTACATCTAAATCTGTAGCACGATGGGCATGAAAGTCATTTTCCAAAAGATTTATACGAAACATTGCCCATTCTTTTGAGAGACGAAAAAGTCAAACGAAAAGTTTATCGGACAAATCGTTGTCCGTAACTATGTCGCCGTGGTTGTCTTCCCTCGACATTCTTATGAATTAAAATTAATTCCATTTTTTTCTTTAATTCACTAAACTATATATAGCATATATATATATATATATATATATATATATATATATATATATATATATATATATATATATATATATATATATATTATTATTTACATAAAAGTAACTTACTCATATAATAGAATACTTTTTTATTCAGTAAACAATTAAATAAAACTGTAATTCAAACGCAATCTATAGTCAAATAATTTTTTTAGCAAATACTATACTATGTTGCACTATGCATTCGAGCCAGTAATACAGTATGTCTACTATAAGAGTTTTCGGAGCGTTGCAAATTTGCTACGCGATGCAATTAAGGGATAAATTGTGTGTAGTAAATGACAAACTTTGTTATTTTTTTAATAAAAAGTAAAAAATATATTATAAGGTTTAACTAATCCGAGTACAAATATTCTTCGTTTCCTTTTCGTTTTCCCCTTCCTCATCTTCTTTATCGCCTTCTTTTTTATCGTCTTCTTTAAGAACTGCCTACTATTTATCTTAATTTTTGATTTGGAAGCACTTAAAATGAATCAGAACACAGTAGAAATCTATTCAACACATCTTTGTTGCATTGCTAGAATAAAAATTTTCTAGAAAAATTTTGTCTATATACTGTCTGAAATGCTTATTTCTTGCTTCAGCAGCTTCCTCCGAGATCTTTCCAATAGGTATTATTGCAGAATTAATGACGGTGGATCCATGAATTTATACTTGACGTATTGTTGGTGTGACCAACTTGGTGACATTGGGTACCAGTTCTAGAGAGTTCTCTAGGGAAACATATAGTTCAGCCGTATCTAGCGCGTAGGTAGAACATTTTTCGGTGTCAATTTTTTTACCGCTTGAAGGCGGTTTCGGGATCGGCAAAAAATCTTCTAGATGTATATCCATCATTAGTGTTTCCGAATGGCTGGAGTTCAAATATATATAAATTATATTAACAAAGACAATAAATAGGTTGCTAAGATTATAATTATGGTTTTGGCTATATTAGCATAATTATAATAATATTTATTTAAAAAAATAAAAATTAATAATATAAAAAAATATAATATAAATCTCTATGCAAATAAACTAGCCCCTTGGGGGTCGTCCGCCTTATGGGACGAAGAGGTCTAGCAAAACTGGACCATTTGTGAGGGGCTCATGAAAATGTGAGGTCCAAAATTTATTTTGTCTTTTTCCAAGAAGAATTGTAATATTTATTAAATTTTTCCGAAATTAAATATTTTTTATACCTATTAGGGCCAGTTCTTCAATGTGATTTAATCCGAGGTTTAACTTCAAACCCCGAGTTAAATTTGGAGTTAACTAAATTCGCGTTTTTCAATTCATTTTGATCCCCGAGTTTATATAAAACCCAGAGTTACTTTAATTCCCAGAAAGGGTATGAGTTAAGTAAGAATTAAAATAAAAATAGGTTATATATCGTTCTGTTGTAAGTGTTGTGTAAAGTGATAATGTTGGACTATGATGTAAATGCCTATAGTAATGATGAAGAGAACTTTAGAAGACCAAAAGTTATTTGTCCAAAAATAAATCATTTTGAAATGTGGGACAATATTGATTTTCTAATCAGATTTTGGTGGTCTCCAACAGGTGAAAAGTTTATTTAGCAAAAAGTATTCCAAGACGGCTCTTAGCTTATTGAGTCCTAAATGTCATATTTTAATTTTCTCGTTGTAGAAATAACGCTTTATCCGCGGAACACCAATTGTTGCTTACCCTGCGGTTTTACGCCACGGGTTCTTAAAATTTTATAAACAAGCCGCAACACTTTTATTTTCAAACAATTTTCTTTCTGCAGCTTAACAAAACCAATTTTGTCTTGAATTAGCTGTTCGTTTAGCCGGACAGGTTTGCGCCCCGTCAACGACTGGGTAGTACCCATGACTTTCTTGCGATTTTTTAATTTTTTATGCATTTAACTTTCTTTTTAGCCGAAAAAAAAGTTGTAGATCGAGCCTTTTTTTGAGCGGTTCAGAATCACATATAGCAGTTTTATTACACGACATCACTGCCTTTAAATAAATTACAGCACATTTTCCACTAAAGCAAAAAATAAACTCACCGTAATCTTAAAATTGTAATCAATAAATTTAATAATTTTAAAATAATGATCAAACTACCTTCGTGACATTCTTTTCTAAAGGTTTAAACCGCAAAACAGAGTCAAAAATGAGGTTGGCGTGCAGCCGTTACCATGACAACGCATTACCAACCTTACAAATTTTATTCAAACCTAGAGTTGATAAATCCTCACTATGATTGTAATTGAAAAACCCGAACGCGACCCTAACTCGGAGTGCTTTAGCTGCGTTGCGTCCCACGTACATCAAAATGCCGCACACAGAAGACGAAATTAGCGAAATGAAGCAAAAGTTTTTCAACCTTGCTTCATTTCCGCGGTGCATAGGAGCTATTGACTGTAGTCATGTAAAGATTCAATCTCCAGGCGGACTAAATGGAGAAATTTTTAGAAATAGGAAACAAATTTTTTCTATAAACGTGCAGACAATCGCGGATCCCGATCTGAAAATATCAGATATTGTTGCAAGATGGCCAGGATCTACGCATGATGCTCATATTTTCCGAAGCTGCTCTGTTAAACGTTCTTTTGAACAAGGGCGTTTGGGAGATTCTGTACTTGTTGCTGACAGTGGGTATGGCGTTAAATCATACATGTTAACCCCATTACGACAGACAAGAAATGAGCCAGAAAACCTGTATAACGAATCTCAAATTCGAACGCGGAATGTTGTAGAAAGATCATATGGAGTTTGGAAACGGCGGTTTCCAGGTTTAGCATTAGGTTTGCGTCTCAAAATGAACACAATCTTGGCTGTTATTGTTAGTACTGCGGTGCTACATAATATAGCATGTAACGAAAACGACCGCATTCCAGTGGTAAATGAGATGGAAGCCGCCGCAATAGAGATGGTTAATAACAATCCCCCAAACGACGATGTGGCAGTAGCTGTAAACCGAGGGGGGGCAGAAAATATCACGCGACATAATTTAATATACAATTATTTCGCTCGTTTGTAAGTGAAGTAAAACACAATAATTCGAATAAGAGATAACAAAACTTTATTTTCTGTAAATAAACAGCCAACCTAAACTAAATCTTTGTCTAATTGCCCAGGTACTTTGGTAATAAAAGTAGGAACAAATAAACTTACGACTAGAAAAAATAAATTTGCAACTAAAAGAACAAATAAACTGAAAACAAGAAAATAAACTTGAAACTAGGAACAAATAAACTTTGATATCCGATAATCCGCCAACTGAAACCATAACCGAGTTCTGTCGAAAACCTAAACACGTTTCGGTCGTCGTCGAAGACGTACAGTCTGCTTTTGTAGCATCTGTAATTGATTTTTTTTAATTTTATAATCAAGCCGCAACACTTTCATTTTCAATGCATGCTCCTGCAAACAATTTTCTTTTTGCAGTTTAACAAAACCAATTTTTTCTTGAATTAGCTGTTCGTTCAGCCGTACAGGTTTGCGCCCCGTCAACGGCTGGGTAGTACCCATGGCTTTCTTGCTATTTCCTAATTTTTTATGCATTTTACTTTTTAGCATAGCTGGCGAATATGATGACCACTTCAACTGCATGTTGTTGTCGTCATTAGGCTCGGTTTCCTGCATAGCAGCATTCGGCTGGGATAGTTGTAAAACATTTTGAGAGGACGAAGGTTGGTTCTTCTCAGTACCAATAGAGCCTTCGACTTCCTCTGCGGCTAAAATATATTCTTCCACGTCAGCTTTTCCATATGCTTCTTCTCGCTGTTCTACTTCTTCGATTATCACTGCGTCACTGTCAAAATTATTATTTAATCCTTCAACAGCTGCTCCTCCTAATAGCTCCGTCACCTTAACTTCCACCGGGGTAAGTATTTTTATATCTGCGAATCCTCCGCCCGTTTTTGTTATCTCCATTTTATTGTCAGCACACTTCTTTTTGGTGTCTTTCTTTAAATTTTTGTACTTGGCTTTCAAGGTCTCCACCGACCTAAACGTTTCCCCGCTTGTGCAATTAAATTCCTTTCCAATTTTTTCCCATACAGATTTTTTGTCAGTCCATTTAATTTTCCCACTTTGCTTGCATTCGATAACGTAGGCATATTTACCTATAATGTTTATCAGTTCCATCTCTTCAGACGAAGAAAAAGTTGTAGATCGAGCCTTTTTTTTGGGCGGTTCAGTATTACACATCACTGCCTTTAAATAAATATAATAAATTGCAGCACATTTTCCACTAAATCAAAAAATAAACTCACCGTAATCTTAAAATTGTAATCAATAAATTTATTAATTTTATAATAATGATCACTCGTGACAGAGTCAAAAATGACGTTGGCGTGCAGCCGTTATCATGACAACGCATTACCAACCTTACAAATTTTATACAAACCTAGAGTTGATAAATCCTCACTATAATTGTAATTGAAAAACCCAAACGCGACCTAAACTCGGAGTTGACTTAAGTCAGAGATAAGCCAGAGTTATTCAACTCTGGATTTAACTAGCCTATTGAAAAACTGGCCCTTAGTGTTTTGAATTTGTGACCTGATCCTTTGTGACAAGGAAGGAGGAGGCGGTCAAAAATCCCCCACAAAAGCTAATAATATTGCCAACACCTATCCACGGTACAGGGTGTAGAAATCTCAAAACATTATAAAATAAAGATAAACAAAAGGGTAATAGTTTAAAAGTTTTACAATTATCAAATTGTATGGATTAACTTACTCAAGAAACCAAATGGTAATTATATTAATTTTATTACTGATATTTTGAAGAGGTAAATAATACAAATTTAATATTAGTAAAAGCTAGTCTTTATTAATTAAATGTAAAATTGAACAAAATATAAAAATAATAAAATATGTTAAAGAACAAATGTAAGGAGGTACTAATAAGACCGTAATACCGTCACCAAAAAGAAAATAAAGCAAATTGAAAATAATACCCAATTCTGCAATTCCCCACGTATATAGTGGAAAGGTGAAAAATCGGGTAAGCCCTTTTTATCAAAATAATCCGTAATCCAATAAAATTGTAAATCTTTATTATCACAGCATTTTAGTTACTAAAATAAATTGCTTTGTTACTATAGAAACCTCTCAAATAAGCTTTAATTTCTTGTAACAAATAAGGGCAGTAGCTACCAGTTAAATATAATTAATTTACAGCTTATATAAGGTTTTTGTTTGCGCTGCACCTCAGTGGTAAAAACGAACGAAAAACTAAAATTGGGCAGTACCTAGTTAGCGATTATTATTGTTTTAGAAATTAATAGGAATATTTATTTATAACTAGATTCGCTGTCGTTTTCCCCGAACCAATTATCATTTTTTTTTCCAGCAAAATTTGTAGCTTGACTCCTCATCTCCTGAGTGATAACGGCTTGGGTCGATTGTCGTGGTCCTTGAACCATTCTGGCAGAAGAAGAAGCCTGCCAAACCGAACTCGTTTCGGTTGTGCCGGCTCTCTGCATACGTACGGGCTGAATTTTTGTGCTTCTTTGGGATTTCGGAGTTCCCTCTGGCGATGTAAATTCACTAGCCGTATCGTATCTTGAAGGGGCTACCCATCTTTCTGTAAATTCACTAGCAGATCTAGCCAGGCTGGGTTGACTTAGAGATCTTGCTAAACCATGGTAATGCTGGTCAGGTTCTAAATCGTCGTAATATCTTCCAGGGCCTGGATAATAGCTAGAAGATTCTGATTGACTGTCAGCGTGGTCGGGCCTAGCAAAGTCGACGATTGTTTCTGACATAGAGCGTAAGTCAGCTTCGCTTCTATAGCTTGACTTGGATGTTTTTCTAGATCTAAGAGGAATGGATGGTAATACCATCGGTTCTCTGGGATATGTTCTAACGGAACTACCTCCATCAGAGTCGTACTCATATAAAGTTGGCAAGCTACTTCGACGACTTCTCGTATCCCAATCTGATTTCTTTTTATAACGATTTTTAAACTTATCAACTGGTGTTAAAATTCGAATAATTACATCCCATTTGGGTGGTTCAAAAAGCTTCTCATATCTTGTATCATGACTTATTCTTTCAAAATCTTCGCGAACAGTTGCTTCTGTTAGCATAGTACGAAGGGTCGACTCAGTGGTGATAATTTGACGCCACTTCATTTTATCAGTCATTGTCAGTTGGGAGTTAAACGTTTCAGCGCTTTCGATAACTGGACCTTCCTCTGGTTCAGGTTGCAAAACTCTAATTAGAACGTTCCAATTAGGAACCTCAGGATTATCAATTGGTATATTAAATGTAGACAAGAAGGTTTCCTCTCTTGAATGAATTTGACTGGTTGAGGTAACTTGTCTAGATGGTTGCTGACGAATACTTCCAACCAATTCTGGTGAATTTAATGGCAGTTTATTATCATCGATTGAATTAGGGGGAGGAATGCTCATCACATTTCTTTCAAGTTTAGGTGTTAAGGTCATACCCGAAGCTGAAGATATATCCGAAAAGTTTTCCCATTCTGGTGGTTCTGGCATATCTGCCGGGTAATTTTTGATTGTTACGTCCCATTTTTGATCTTCCAACTGTTTTTGACGAGTATGATATTCGGTAACCAATCTTTTATGGCGTTCAATGTCCTCGATGGTCTTCTTTTCAGTAATGGTTCTTAAGAAGACATCATCGACCACATGCGAGGTTATATCTGGTTTGTGAACTACAGCTATTGGTGGCTCTAATGATTCTGGTTGTTCCATTTCCATCACGTAATCTTGTCTAGGAATAATTGGGGGTGGCGGTGGTGGAGTGGAGGCAAGGAATTTGGGACGATTATCTTCCATTATTTCAGTGACTGAATGGGTGTCGGTCATTTCAGTATTCAAGGAAACAATAGACCTAGGTTCTTCATGCAATTCTTGCTGTCTTCTTAAAATTCTGTTATAAGTTGGTGCCAATTGAATGTGTTTGGGAGGAGGGTGCAATTCAGGAACGTAGGTAAATTGAGTTCGTTCGACTGGCAGTGGTGATTCCATAGTTCGCACACTTTCCTCTCGCTGTTCAATAATAGTTGAAAGATTTCTTTCACTCCTTGCCAAGGAACTTTCAGAATCTGAAAGTGTGAGACTGGGTGGAGATGGAGGAGCTTTCTTAACACGTACTTGAACGTCAAATTTAGGTTGATCCTTGACAGCTAAAGGAAGTCTAGATACCATTGCGGGAATAGCAACTGCATTTTGAACTTGTTGTTCTTGAGAGTGGCCGTATCCTTCACTGTAAAAACTGCTGGTATCCTGGACATACGCCTTATTTTCAAAACTGCCAGCAGAAGAGACAGGTAAAGATCTAGTATCAACATCCTCTATTTCTGAATGAGATTCGGAAGGATAGTCCGAGGGAAGGGTATCACTTATTAGCGGTCCCTCACTACCAGAACTGCTTCCAGCTAAAACAAGAGGTGCGTGTGCTCTCGGAATTTTAACTTCCCCAAACATAGAAAGGTTACCTAAAATAATTATATGTATAATTCAAATAAATATTATATAAATGTGGAATTTTACCAAGTGAACTTCCAGATAGTTTGGTGATTTCCGAGCCTGTACCAATGGATGAAAATGGATGTCTAATAATAGTAACATTTCGTTTTCGAAGGCAGTAGTACGAACAACCAAGTCCAAGAAGAAGTAACGATAAGAACAAAATACCACAAATTATCAATAATATTTGGAATCCTTTTAATGGAGGTGCCAAAGCAGCCACTGGTGCAATATCTTCTCGACTGAAATATTAAATTGGAAATAAGTACTTTAAAATATGGCATAAATGATAACTTACATAGGTAAAGGAGCTATAGGTAAAGGTGCTACAGGTGGGGGATATCGGCAAACTATAGTAATAATTTCATCCCCATCAATTTCAAAACTTGGGTGAAACCTTACAACTATATTATTTGTAAAAACACGTTGAGGCTCCTTAAAAAATATGTTTTTATTAATTATTGCAATACATTTTAATAATAATCGGGGTTTTAATGTAAATACTATTATTTAAAATATATAAAAATGGTATTAAGTTTCAATAAAATACTAGTATCTAGTATTAAATGTTAATGTAGTTTTAATGTAAATACTATTATTAAAAATATATATAAATGGTATTAAGTTTCAATAAAATACCCCTAGTATCTAGTATTAAATATGACATATTCTAATATATATATAACAACACCCCGATTAACTTTTTCATATTAAACATAATATTGTTTAAATAAATATCGGTATGCTTTAAAAGTAACTTACTTGTTTTGTTCCACATCCTTTCAAGGGGAGTTCTAGCTTGTAGTTGAGTCCGCCATTACCATACACCTGACAAGCAGAATTTCTATCGAAGTCAGCATAAGCAATTCCATAAAATTTGTCGTTAAATTTAAGGTCAATCTGCATGGATCCTGCAGCACAGTTCAGGACCGCTTTGGTGCGGTTTAAAAAAATAACAGGACTAAGGTCATCCAATTTAGTGACTTTTCCATCTAGGGTAGCTTGGTCGGGTAGTCCTTCTCCAACATATTCAATGTTGTTGGCTTGGTCGGCATAATTTGATTGGGAGGAAACCAAACTACATAGGCCGAAGGTCAATAATAAATATAGGAACTGAGACATCTGAAAAAAATATATATTTAATACATACATACAATAAAATTTATATTTATAAATTTAATATAATTTCTTTTAAACTATTTCAAAACAATGCTTACACTAACTTCAAAAATTAAAAAATAATTTATTCTATTATTGATATTTTTGGCCCTTGCTTATTTTAAAATTTGTCAATTCTTTTTATTTATTTCAATAAAAATATTTTACAATCTAATTTATTAATATTTTTAGTCCTTGATTAATTTTAAAATATATTTAATATAATTTGTTTAACTCTTTCAAAAGAATGCCTACACTAAGTTCAAAAATCTAAAAAGGACAATGACTGCACCCAAATATAGTAGTGGTAGGCATCAGTGAGCTTAACAAAATACAATGCATGGGCGTATAAAACATTTCACAAATTTATACATCCAGTTGCAAATACTTTTTCATTACGATTATAAATTTTAGTAATGGTCTGTGATTATTATATTATTAAACCCAAATATGCATTAAACAACCAGAAATTAAACTTTTTTTTTAAATAATTTTGACGTGCTCCTTCAGAAATTTTCACAGACTCAAAAAAATGTAATATAATGCCAGGCAGTGATGTAACCGATACATTTTTTTCAGTATCTAGGTACCGATACAGATACTCTCTGGTAGATGTATCTGGGTACAGATACCGATACATTTTCATAAAAGTATCTGGGTACAGATACAGATACATTCAAAAAGTATCTAAGTTACTTCCAGATACTATGTTAAAAAAACTTAAAAATTAAATGACAAAAAAATTTTTTTGGAGCTTATAAACAAGCGTGTTAACTATAAAATAAAACTGTTTTGATAAAATTGACGAAATATCCATGAAAAACGGAAATAAATTTTATATTTACGCGCCATATGAAAGCTTACTACAAAATTTGTAGTACAAATTCAAAATTATCGTTAGGTCTCTGGGTTCGGTACAGTGTTGCCAGATGCTTTTTCCTGTAAATCCATAGGGGGTGGGAAAAAGCGTTAAGCCGGATTTATAGATTGCCTTCCTTCCTTCTTTCCTTCCTCCCGTAAAAGATGAACAATACGAAAATAGTAGTTCAGTTTATAGATTAGGGTACGGGAGTCTATACACAGCACTACGGTTTTCGTATTGTTCATCTCTCACGGGAGATATCAAAAATATCCAATGTAGGTATATATCCTGCATATCCATAGAATATATCCATTAGATGTTCATTTTCCGTGTGGCCCACACGGTGTGGAGTTGCAATCAGGTTGGGTAAAATAAAATGTATCTTGTATCTAAGGATCTAGATACTTTCAAAAGGATCTAGATACTAAAGTAGATCCCGATTTTCTTAAGTATCTCGATACGTATCTAGGTACATAAAATGTATCTAGATACATGTATCTCGATACATTACATCACTGATGCCAGGTCACATATTGTCCGATTTATAATTCCTAGTAGTAAACATTTTTCTAAAATAAATCGAGAAGAATAAGAAAATATTTGACTTTTTTTTGACGAATAGATTTTAATCAGCTTTTTAACCATTTTGGGTAAAACATTAAAAATAATAATAATAGGTATCGGTTTTCGAGCCACCGGAGTTCGAGAAAAGCCGTTTCACAGACTCTCAGGTAACAAAAAAAAAAGTTGATCAGAATTCGATCTTATGTTAAAAGTGATTTTGGTGGAAAAAGTTGATATGGATATAGGCAATCAAGTATGTACAATATTTTAAGCAACATTTTATGTTGTGTGTTATAAACTTTATTTATTCATATCGAGTATAGTACTCGATATGAATAAATAAAGTTCATCTAACTAAGAATATTAAATTTTTCTCGTCTTTTTAAACAAACATTTGCATTTTTAAATATATGCAACACCTCGCAACAGCATCCGACCCACGTTTTATTAAACTTTACGACATCTAGAATAACTTTAGCCATAAAAACATTCAGTTTTCACATCCCGGAAAAATTTACCCTTGAAACCGACACTTTTATGCAATTTTTAGGTAGATGGATATGTTTTTTTTATTTTTTAAAGGGAACAACAAATTTAATATATATTTAATTTTAATATTTTTATTGTATTTCTTGCATGTAAGTAGCTGCTTTGTATTTTTTTAAATAAATTTTTGAATACATTAATTTTTTTATTTTTAGTAAAAATACCTCACCATCACTTGTATACCTTTAGAAAAATGTTTTTTCGTCATTTACTACCCTTTCGAAACAGAAAAAGTCCCCAAATATCATTTCTGCGTCGATACATATTAAATTTTTTAAACCATCATTGCTACAACAGAAGTGACTATTTTTTTTAAGTCGACCTATGTTACCAGACTTTGTCGACGCATCATTAATGCTCTTTTGTATTAGAATCTGAATATTATATTTATTTCCAAAGGAACACTGCGATGTGTCGTGACTTGTTTTTAGCCCAGGCATGATAAAAGTTGTTTAGAATTTAAACAATATATTTTTATTTATAATATGTTGCCATTTAAAAATTATTAAATTATAATTTAAAGTAACCCGGATAAATTTAATTTGTTAGCGTTAAAGATAATTTAAAGTTTATTATTAACAATGATAACATGTTTGCGGGCAGAGCTGGGAAAGTTACTTCTGAAAAGTACTTTTCTAAGATACTTTAAACAAAATATCTTAGTTACCTCTGGTAACTAGATACTTTTAGTTAAAAGTATCTTTACTTACAAGATACTTTAAAAAGTATCTAAGATACTATCCAAAAGTATATAAGATACTAATAGTATCAAAAGTATCTTAGATACTTTCATATACTATCATTCTATATGAAAGTATCTAAGACACTTTTGAGTAACTAAGATACTTTTGAGTAACTAAGTTGTTACAGAATATACTATTCTTAATTAGTTTATGTTTATTAGTTATCGTTTCAGATGCAATTCCACGCTTTCTATGGGATTGGCATCTGGTGATTTTCCTGGCCATGCATGGTAAAGCTTATTGCCTTATAGCTGGATGCCGAATCGTGCATAAAGACACATTCCTTATTATTTGGGAACCACTATCTAGGTACCGATACAGATACTCTCTGGTAGATGTATCTGGGTACAGATACCGATACATTTTCATAAAAGTATCTGGGTACAGATACAGATACATTCAAAAAGTATCTAAGTTACTTCCAGATACTATGTTAAAAAAACTTAAAAATTAAATGACAAAAAAATTTTTTTGGAGCTTATAAACAAGCGTGTTAACTATAAAATAAAACTGTTTTGATAAAATTGACGAAATATCCATGAAAAACGGAAATAACTTTTATATTTACGCGCCATATGAAAGCTTACTACAAAATTTGTAGTACAAATTCAAAATTATCGTTAGGTCTCTGGGTTCGGTACAGTGTTGCCAGATGCTTTTTCCTGTAAATCCATAGAGGGTGGGAAAAAGCGTTAAGCCGGATTTATAGATTGCCTTCCTTCCTTCTTTCCTTCCTCCCGTAAAAGATGAACAATACGAAAATAGTAGTTCAGTTTATAGATTAGGGTACGGGAGTCTATACACAGCACTACGGTTTTCGTATTGTTCATCTCTCACGGGAGATATCAAAAATATCCAATGTAGGTATATATCCTGCATATCCATAGAATATATCCATTAGATGTTCATTTTCCGTGTGGCCCACACGGTGTGGAGTTGCAATCAGGTTGGGTAAAATAAAATGTATCTTGTATCTAAGGATCTAGATACTTTCAAAAGGATCTAGATACTAAAGTAGATCCCGATTTTCTTAAGTATCTCGATACGTATCTAGGTACATAAAATGTATCTAGATACATGTATCTCGATACATTACATCACTGATGCCAGGTCACATATTGTCCGATTTATAATTCCTAGTAGTAAACATTTTTCTAAAATAAATCGAGAAGAATAAGAAAATATTTGACTTTTTTTTGACGAATAGATTTTAATCAGCTTTTTAACCATTTTGGGTAAAACATTAAAAATAATAATAATAGGTATCGGTTTTCGAGCCACCGGAGTTCGAGAAAAGCCGTTTCACAGACTCTCAGGTAACAAAAAAAAAAGTTGATCAGAATTCGATCGCGAGTCGAACCCTACATTTAAAGGTACATCTATCGGTGCTCCTTTTAAAGGAGTCCTTTAACCACTTTTGGCACCGGCCGCTGCAACGCCAGCGCGCTGGCGCTATAGGTTAATTGTTTGTGTCCGATTGAAGGTGTTTTTCAGCCGAAGCCGATGTTCTGATATTTTAAAACCTTCGGCCGAGGGTGACTGATTTTTTTTAAATAAGTAGGAAGCTTCCTACTATGAAATTTGGGAATTTATGGGCAGTCTGAACCTTTGGCTCAATTTTAGCCGAAGCCAAACCATCGGTCGGACACTCCAAATTGTATTTATTTTTTATTCCCCCATATCGTTTATTTGTGGGTCAAAGTTAAATATTTAAAAAAATGATCAATTTTCACAATTATTTTTTATTTTTTTTAGAAGATATAATTCAAGAACAAAAGGGTTAATGTGCAACTGGGAACAAAGAGTATAAATTTCTGATCGCCATTTTGTTCCTAATTGTTTCAAATTAGTTTTATTTTGTAATATGAAATGCCCATTTACTACCCCATAAAACAAAGAATAAAGCATTTCAATACCTATTCTAAATAAAAAGCTAGAGCCCATTATGTACAAGTATGAAATTCACCCAATTTTTGACTTTGGATGGGTACTGACTATAAAAAAAATAATGGTGGTTTAGCATTTCTGGTACCTCAAAGATTATCCTTAATTTTTTTATTAAAATTAAAAATCATGCGGCACACCCCATTTGTTGATTTCATAAAGAATGACTCTTTATTATAAATTGCGAAAAAGTGAGTTTAAATTCGTCAAATGTTAAATATTTATTAATTAAAATTTTCTTTAAATTCTTTTTTCTGTTCGTCGTAGATAAAGTATAGTATGCAATTCGTTTTATAAATTTCTCT